GAACAGAAATTATCTGTCCCCCAAATCGAGTTTTTGCTGTGAATTCTTTTCCCGTTAATGGCGCCACCATCCTTCTGGTCCCTTGTATTCCAAATCTTCTTGTCATTCTTGTCTCATCATTTTACTCTTTCCCAAATCTAAACTTTTGCCAAATCATTTCTTTCTCCACAATATGACTGTATTTCTGGATCTGCACTAACTCCGCTTAGTTAAGACTCTCGTCCCTTCTGACTGGGATTGTTGCTATAGCCCTCTGCTAAGTCTCCCTGCCTTAATACTGTCCCTGTTCCAATCCACACTCCATTCCAGTGCCAGATTTTTCTCCCCCAGTTTGGGTGTGCTCCCCTCACTCAGTAAGCTCCAAGTGGCTCCCTACTACCTTCCTCATAAAATGTACGCTTTTCTTTTTGGCATTTCAATACCTTCACAACCTTATCCCTTCCAACTTCTCCAGGTTTTACACATTCCTCTCCTCCATGCCTTAAGCAATCTAGTTAGATTGGCCTTCTGGCTTCACAAATGATGTTCCATCTCCCAGCTTGGTGCTTTTACCTTAGCTGTGTCCTCACCTCTTGGAATCCCAGAAAAGTGTCCATCCAGCTTCTGCTTGAAGCCTTCCTTAGAGGGGAGGCTCACCACCTCTCACGGCAACCCTTTCCATTTTGGGATAGCTTTCATTGTTAGGACCTTTCTCCTGAGAATGAGCCTAAATTAGTCTCTCTGCAGCCTGTAGCTATGGCATTTTCCAGCCCCTGACTTCCTTGTCCCCTTTTCCCCATTTGCCTGGATAGTCTTATCCATCTCTTCATTTTCCCATTTACATGTCCTTATTTTTATCTAATTCTACAATTTATTTTCTTTTTATAAGATTTCCTTTATCTTTATGACTAGTACAGAAAAATGCAGATGACTTTAAAAAAAAATCCTCCCCTTACATTTACCTGTGCCATTTGAAGGTTCCCGGTCCACTGTCGTGTCATCTGTCTAATGATATTTGGAACATCATTAGTGAGGAGATAGGCTCACTTGGGACCTTTCAGTCTGCCATCTTTTGGCAAGCTTTTTTGGGTTATCACTGCCCATAGAGAATTGCCATAGGCCCTTGATGGGAACACGGGAGAAGTAGATGTGTTCACAACCTTCTGGGGTATTATTATCAAGTTAGAAGAGTGAAGCATAGAAGAGTGGAAACTGTCAATAATAAGGAATTGCTGGCTCTGTTTCTATGGGAGAGACAGTAAATGCTACTAGAGTGAAGAGAATTGGGTAGGAAAGGAAGATTGCGTTGACTGAGCATGACTGTGTGAAGCAAGGACAGACTATCTCTGTCAGTCTTTGGTCATGGCTGATTTCCTCCTCTCTTTATTGTTTCTCCTTAGTCTCTTCCCCCTTGTGACCCTACCTTTCCTCCTATTCCTTCTGTTTATCTTCCCCTGTTCTTACAATTTTCCTAGAATATAGGGACACCTTAGAATAATAATAGCACTTTATGGCTCACTAAGTACTTTACAAATACTGTCTCATTGGATTCTCACAGCAGTGCTGAGAGGTGGATGCTGATATCATCCCCATCGTTTTTGTTGTTCAGCTGTTTTCTAATCATGTCCAACTCTTCGTGATCTCATTTGGCATTTTGCTGGCACAGATAAAGGCGTTGTTTGCCATTTCCTTCTCCAGCTCATTTCTTGTAGATGAGGAAACTGAGGCAAACAGGATTAAATGACTTGCCCAGGGTCACACAACTAGTAAGTGTCTGAGGCTGGATTTGAAACTGGGACGATGAGTCTTCCTGACTCCAGCCTCAGTGCTATATCTACTGTGCCATCCACCTACTCTATCCACATCTTACAGATTAGGAAACTTGAGTCAGACAGAAGAAGAAGATTTGCCCCAGGTCACAGAGCTAGTAAGTGAATAAGGCTGGATTTGAACCATTTGTTAAATACCTGTTATATGCCAGGCACTATGCTAAGGACCTAACAGATATCTCATTTGATCTTCAAAACAGCCCTGTGAGGGAGGTGCTATTTTCATCCCCATTGTACAATTGAGAAAACTGAGGCAGAAGAATTTAAGTGACTTTCCACAGTTCACACTTGTAGATAGTATTTGAGGCTGGATTTGAACTCAAGTCTTTCAGACTCTAAATCGCTTGCTCTTTTCATGAGGTCATTGAGCTTACAAGGGTCTGGACCCCAACCTACAAGGCCCTGCTGCAGACAATGTATGTGGAAGTAGGTGGTAATCGATAATGAGGCCCAAGGAGAGGCTCCTGGAATAATGTTAGGTCTTTGGTGTAGACTAGGCATCCAGCAACTCTGTGGCCTTTGCCAATTGTAGGGTGCACAAAAGCCAGAGGTGTGCATACAGTTACACCAGAATGAATGAAATCCACTTTTCCGAGGGGTAACAGTCAGGCTCTAGATGCCAATTATCCATTTTTAATATCTATGGCTAAGGAGTCAGACTGTCTCCTAGCCAGCCAGCAGAATTATGGTACTTTAAAGTTCCTAATATCCTGTCAACCATCCAGGTTGTCTTGGACTGGAAATTTGTTTCACTCTATCTTTTTGTGGATTCTGCTGCTTTAGAATTTGTTTAGAGCCATTTTTTTTACAAGTATTTGAAGGGGTTTGGGGGAGAACTCAAGCAAGTCACTGCTTTTACTCTGCCATCTTGGCTCCATCCCCCAAAGTTCCTAATATCCTTACATTGAACCCCTTTAATGCCAGAGAGCTTTCCTGTTTTCATAGCTGATCCACATCCTTCTTAAACTGTCCTGCCCAGAAGTGAATGCCTTCCTCCACATATGCCCTGATTAGGGGATATTCCATTGAGGTGGAATTTTCCCTTGATTCCTGGCAGGCATGCATCTCTTAATGCATCCCCAGATTGAATTCACTGCTGGCTCATCCTGAGTGAGTAGTCCACCGAGACCCCCAGGTATTTTATAGAATGACACTTCTACACCATCATCCTGTACTTGTGAGGCTGATGTTTTGTACCCGAGTATAAGCCTTTTCCATTTGTTCTATGGAATCTTCTTTTCCCAAATTTCATCTTCCATTCCTAAAATGGAAATGAGGTCACCCAGGCTTAAGTTTGTCTCTATTACTAGTTAGTGATGTACTGAAAGTCTTTGAGCCTCATGTGGCAAATGGAAAAACTAACTTTCCTTTCTCTCCAGGCTATTTTGAGGATGAATGTTAAAGGACTCCCCAGGCAAGTGATCCTAATATCATTTACATTTTGATGATGGTATTCATGAAGGAGACACAAGCTAGGTATAAGTAAAGAGTAGATGGATGCAAGGGGAATATAGGTATTTAAATTTCATTTTCAGAGAGGGAGACTATTAAAAAAAAAGGGAGTCTTTTCTAAAGGAGGGTCTTTCTCTGGAGACATTTTCTCAAATCTTACAAGGAGTCATCTGCTGGTCTCCAGCTTGAGAAAAACCTGGGAATGTGCTGCCATTTTGGGTAGACAGCAGAGCAATGAGGAGGAATATTCTCGGTAAGTGTAATCTCACACAAAGGAAGAAGCCATGAGTGTAGTAAATATGGAAAAAGCTTGAATCCATAATTTCCTCTCTACTGTAGGAAGAGTCTATAGGAAAAAGTCTCCATAAACACAACAGAAAGAAATTAAGTCTATTTTTTGACCAAAATAAATCTAATGGGAATCCACTCAAATTATTTTCTAATATTATTATTATATTGATGTATATTAATTTTATATAATATAATTAAGTATTACAATACAATATTATTAAATAATATTTATATTATAAATATCATTTAATAATATAAACTCTTCAGTTTTGGATTCAACCTTATTAAATATCATGGAATAGAGAAATCATATGAATATCATGAATATAGGAAAGCCTTTAAGTGTAGCCCATCCATGAATTCCTATGAAATAATAGATCCTGGAGAGAAATTTCATGAATATCAGAAGGTTTTCCTTCAGACTATAGAGAACTCATCAGCAAATTCTTACTAGAGAGAAAGTTTATGAATGTAATGAATGTAGTGAGGCTGACAGTTACCACCTGTCCTTTTCTTCTCATCACAGGATTCATACTGGGGAGAAACCTAAATATCCTGAATGTGGAAAGAGCTTCAGGAGAAGCACAGAGACTACAGAAAATCAGAAAATTTGTACTGGAGAGAAATCCCTTGGATATGATGTAGGTGTGAAGAACTTCTGGAAGGCAGCTCTCACTCCACATGTGAAAGTACTTTGGGGGAAGAAATTTTACGAATGTTATGAACGTGGAAAAGCATTCCACAGGAAGACATCCCTTAGCCAACATCAGATGAGTCATACTAGAGAGAAGTCTTATGAATGTAGTGAATGTGGGAAGGCCTTCCGTAGGAAAGGAGTCCTTACTCAACATGTGGAAATTCACACTGGAGAGAAACCTTATGAATGTGGTGAATGTAAAAAGACCTTTCAAAGAAAGACAACCCTTATTCTACATCAGACAACTCATACTGGTGAAAAACCTTTTGAATGTAGTGAATGTAGCAAGACCTTTACCTATAAACCCTATCTTACTCGACGTCAAAAAATTCGTACTGGAGAGAAACCATATGAATGTCTTGAATGTGAACTCTGCACATAAATCATATCTTACTCAACATAGGAGAATTCATACTGGAAAGAAACCTTATAAATGTAATGAATGTGGGAAGGCCTTTAACAGGAGACCAGAGTTTACTCAACATCAGAGGATTCATACCACAGAAAAACCATATGAATGTCATGAGTGTGGGAAGGCCTTTCATTGGAAAAGAGTTGTTACCCAGCATCAGAAAATTCATACTGGAAAGAAACCTTTTAAATGTAACAAATGTGGGAAGGCTTTCCCATTTAATTCATATCTCAATCAACATATGAGAATTCATACTGGAGAGAAACCTTATGAATGTCATGAATGTGGGAAGGCTTTTCACAGGAAGACAACCCTTGTTAAACATCAGAGAATTCATACTGAATAGAAACCTTATAAATGTAATTAATGAATACGGGAAGGCCCTTTGCTCCAAACCAGTGCTTACTCAGCACCAGAAAATTCATGCCGAAAAGAAAGATTACCAATGTCTTGAATGCCGGAAGGCCTTTTATTTCAGGAATGAATTTGCTGATGATCAAAGAATTCATACTAAAGAGAGATCTTATAAATGTTGTGAATGTTAGAAAGTCTTCAGCCAGAGATGATCCCTAACTCAACATCAGAAAATTTATCCCATATAGAAAGCTTAGGAATGACATCTGGGTCATATGGCTACAAGATTGGGCACTAGATATCTTTTTTTCTGATCATCATATCTCCCAAGCCTCTCCAAGATAGCAATTTTGTGAAAGAAAGAGAGCAATTTCCTCTGTGTCCATGGTCTAGGATACTGAGAACTCAAAGTAGGTGAACTTGTATGAGTGTTTGAATTTAGGAAGGCTATCTGCCAGAGTGAAGAACTTCCATTCTACATCAGGAAATTCATGCTAGAAAGAAAGCTTATGAATGATTGACAGTAGGCCTTCTGCTAAAGCATTTCAGTTGAACTCAACAAGTACATATTGAGTGTCTATTGTGTGTCAGCGAGGTGCCACAGTGGAGAGAGCATAGGGCCTCAAGTCAGGAAGACGAGTCTTCCTGAGTTCAAATCTGGCCCCAGACACTTATTAGCTGTGTGACCCTGGGCAAGTCACTTCACCCTGTTTGCCTCAGTTTCCTCCACTGTAAAATGAGCTGGAGAAGAAAATAGCAAACCATTAGCAGTATCTTTGTCAAGAAGACCCCAAATAGGGTCATAAAGAGTCAGGCATGACTGAAATAACATTGTGTGTCAAGTACTGTGCCCAGAAATGAGGTATAAAGACAAAATTGCCCTGCCCTCAAGAAGCTTACATACTCCTGGGGAAAGTACCTTATTCTATGCCAATTGGTTCATAAATCTTGTCAATATAATTCATGAAGACTGCCCTTCCATCAGGGAACACAGCATTCTAAACTTCAGAGAATCCATACTACATAGAAAACTTGTGATATAAGAAACCTTTCTGCCTGTACACAGGACTTCATGAAAATCAGAACATTTCATACTTCAGAATATGCTGGCAATAATATAGTAGGGCCTTGAACCGTTGGTCAATGCTTACTTCCCATCTTTGGCCAGAGACTCCATTAATGCAATGAATGTGGAAAGACTGAGCTGGATCAGAAACTTTTACTCTGAATTATAAAATACACAGTAGAGAAATCTCTGTAAATAAATATGCCCAAACACGAGGCAGCAGTCATATCTTTCTGTTTTGTGTATAGTTGATTAAAGTTTTAAACACATAAAGAATTGATCTATGTGAGACGATTGTTTTCTGTCCTGTGATAACAGCCAGGAACTGTTTACCAGCTTCACATATTTAACCAGAAACCTGGGGTTTCTATTATTAAAACACTATTACTACCTATCTTTCTAGCCATCTCTCTCTCTCCTCCCCCTTTCTCCCCTCCATTCATCTATCTAGTTGTCTCCAATATTCAGAAAGCAGTAATCTTTGGCAAACTTTGTCAAATGTTTCTTGTTTTTCAATCTGCAAAACTTTGTCTTTGGAATTAATTGGGCTTTTTGTCAGTATGTGTGGGATTGTATAAGATCACACAATTCTGACTATGTTGTAACTTCTAATATTGAGGCTGAGGTGGGGCTCTATGCCCTAATGTTCCTGACTCCTAGGCTTTATGTTTGAGGCCAAAATTGGGATACAGGAAACGTTAATGTAAAAGAAGTAGGCAGGTCCTGTTACTGGACACATATGGGAAGAGGAAATCAGAAAAAGAGTAGTCCCTCAGTCCTAGAAGAAGTCTAAGTCTCAGCCTGAGTGTATTTCTGCCCAGATCCTAGTAGGAAGCTGATAACCCTCCAAGAGTCATCTCCTGCCCTACTCTCCATCTTTCTTCTCTTCCTACCTGTGAGGTATAGGAAGAATGTCAAGCCTCCCTGTAGTGGTAGAGACTGGGTCAATGTCCAGCCCTGAGGCATAAATGGCAGACCACACACATGGCAGTTATAACACTTGTAGTGACTGAGCTGAGACTGAGCCTGGTGCCCTTGTGTGCCATTTTTCTTTCACACCTTAGTATTGGTGACAAAACACCCATTTGTAGATGAAGGTGTCCACGCTTGGAGGCAGACTTATCAGTTTGAGAGGTGAGGAGATCTTAGGTCCTCAATCCAGCCCAGGGGGGAATTTTATAAGGGTGAAGGAGGAGGCAGTGATCGTTAGCAGGTGGGTGAACGCAAGCCCTGCCCTGGTTTGCCAAATGACATGAAACTACCTCTGGGCTTCTTAAAAAATTAATTTAACACTTAAAAAGTTGTGTCATAGACTCCTTCGGCCACCCGATTCAACCTGTATTTTGTCAGAATATTTTAAAATTTATAAAATGAAAGATAAAAGATTATTATAGGTAATACAGTAGTCTCCTAGACCTGCTAAATAATGTTATCCCCCACGGAGCTTGTTAACTAGCTTTTCTTTTCTCCACACACTAGCATGAATCAGTACCAATCTCAAGTTAATGGCTTCTTGGTCCCTTCCTTCAATGCCTGGTCCTGCTGGACTCATGTGAATTGTTTGGACGAGGCAGATTGAGCTGAATTCATTTCATAATGCCCATTGAGTGGTCCTATAAACTGTTTCATGATCTGATGTTTAGAGCTCAACCTTCTGGGAGAGTATGGTATAATGGGGGCTTTGGAGTACCTACCATGGAGGCACCCTGCTTCTGGGAAAAGACATCCTGAGTTCCTTTAACAAGGTGGGTGGAAGTAGCCTCCTTTTATTGACTTCAGTTAGCCAGAACAGACAGTCTGTAAAACTGCCAGACTCTGACTATCTTGCTGTTTTTCCACTGATAGTGAGAGGCGATGCTTCTATTCACATGGGCACCGTGAACTGAATGGGGTGGGGAAGGGCTTCCTTGGAGCTCCGAGGAACAGGCTTGATTTATGTCTTTGCTGTTTTTCGCGTCCATCTCAGCTGTAGGCCCTGGCAAGGGAGAGGGGAGGTGGAATTCCCACTGAACCCAGAATTGAACCACGAGAGCCCTGGAGCCAGGATTCCAGGGCAAGTACTGCAACTAGCTAGCCCATCAGGAAAGCCTGAAGAAGCCAGAATGCCTGGGATTGAAGACCATTGGCACTTTGGGCTTAGAACTTGGGACTGGGGACTGTGCTAAAAAGAGTCTAGCCATGAACCTAATTCCCTGCTCCCCAGAATGTGACATGGTCGGGGGAAAGGTGGCAGGGATTATACCCCACATATTAGGGAATATGTGTATTTGTTATACTTTTGAAGTGAATATCCTTTTGCTAATCTGTTAAGTAGTTAAATAGAACTGGAAGTCCAAGGAATTCCCCTCTAGAACTGAAAGAACACCATCAGTGTAAGCTGGAGTCAATGGCAGAGGGCCTAGACAGCTCAAAACTCCCTTAAGGGTACTAGAGAACCCTTGACGTAGAGTGAACGTGACCAGCCCGGCCATCAGGTAGTGGCAGCTGAGGTACTCACAGTTAAAATAGCAGTAGCTAGTACAGTACTCTGTTTCCGTCTTCGTTAATGCATGAAATCTAGCTGTAGTTTTGTTTGTTTTGTGGAGGAGATAGCTTAAACTTGTATTTAAATGTGAAGTATTACCATCATCATTAGATATTGAGTGAAACAGCTCAGATTTTATCTGGGGCAGCTTTTCAAATATTGCACAAAGAGATGTCACAAATGCTTCTCGGCTCTGGTGATTAGACCTGAGATTAGTGGACCCAAGCTCCTTTCAGAGAATTCCCTCTTCCACGGATAGGTCCGTTTCCAGATATTTCCTCCACTTCTTTGTCTCCTAGTTTCTGATAATGACCAGTTTATCCATTTCCAGTTTATTGTGATATATAATGTGACTTGCTGGTTTAAATCAGGGCTTCTTAACCTGAGTTTTACAGACCTTGTGGGGTACATGGATAAAATTCAGGGGGTCCATGAAGTTGGATAAAAAATATTATATCCTGATATTCACTAACCTCTAGTTGAAATTCAGTGTTTCCTTCAAAAATGTTTTTTAAAACAATGCTTCTGGCTTCATGACCTGCCAAAGATTGTCCAAGTCACAAAAAAGCGAAGAACTCCAGGGCTAAATATTTCTTTCAGACTAAGACTATCAGTTTTCTCAGCAACTGAACCCTAAGCTATTCCACTATTTTCTTTCTGTGTTTTTATTTACTTATTTAAAGCACAGATACCTCTCTTTTTTTTTAGTTCCAAATTCTCTCCCTCTGCATGCCCTCTCCTCCACCCAATAAGAAGGCAAGAAAAATTAAACCTATGCAGAATCAAGCAAAACAAATGTCCATATTAGCCATGTTGCACATTAAAAAAAAAATCAATAGAGGGGGAAAAAAAGTTTCGATCTGCCCTCTAAGTCTATTAGTTCTCTATCTCGATGTGGATAGCATGTTTCTTCATGAGTCCCTTGAAACTGAGGTGGGTAATTATGAAGATTGGAGTTCCCAAGTCCATCACAAGTGATTATCTTTACAATATTGCTATTACTGGGTAGACTGTTCTTGATTTGCTTCACTTTGCATCAATTCAGATAGGTCTTTCTGAAACCATTCCCTTCATCATTTCTCATAACACTATAGTGTTCTATCACAGTCATCTACTCTAACTTGTTCAGTCATTCTACAATTGATAGTTTCTTTTTCTTTGCCATCACAAACGTAGCTGCTATAAATATTTTTGTACATATGGGCTCTTTCTCTCTTTGGGATGCAGACTTAGTAGCGGTATTGCTGAGTCAAAGAGTATGTGCAGTTTAATAGCTTTTTAGGTCTGGTTCCAAACTGCTTTCCAAAACACTGGTCTAGTTAACAACTTCAGCAACAGTGCATTAGTATATTTTCACAGATCAATCAATCAGTAAAGCACCTAATATATGCCAGAC